TTGCTTAACGGTTCTGGAAGAGTCGTTGAAAAACGCACTGCATGAGCTGCTCGGGCTCACCTACAGAGTCAGCGGTTCGTTTGCTGCCATGCCGCGCTGAAGTGAACGAGAACCACGTTGCCTGGGGGATATCGCCTGCAGAAGACCAGCCCCACCATAGCAGGACACTGAGCAATTCCTAATTCAATTGCGAGGGGGTTGGCACTGATATTCCCGCCGTTGTGACACAAGCTGGCCCATGAACTCGAACTGCATTTAAAGGATCCAGCATGCTCAAGTTTCTTTACGTTTATGGTGCCACCTCCATGTCTCCATTCCGTTGCCGGCTTCTTTTTATGCTCCTTTCTGCGCTTCGTTGGCTCGGGGCTGGCCGCGGGTGGGGGGGGGGGGTGGGGCACACGTGCCGTTTTAGGTGGGCATGGCCTGTATTTTGGAAATTCAGGCTTTCAAGCGAACCTGACACTTATTCCGATACCCCATCTCCTTTTTCTGCTCCGTCTGCCCCCATATAGATCTTTCCACTTTTCATCGCTACGTAGCAGTGCATGGTAGTCACAGTACGGCAGGTATGATTGTTTGCAAGCCGCCTCGCCAATGCAGAGATGCATTGACCAGCGAACCTCCATCCCATTCTTCCTGATTAATCGAGACCTTTGCGCCGATACTCTTCAGGCATGCAGAATAGGGTGCTGATTCTACACTCTGTCACAAAGCCTTTCAGACACTTTCAACAGCAGCGTTGCGGAGAAGGGCAGTCTGCCATGTTCAAACATAGCAAGGGGGATCGAAGCCCCATCATCATCCGCACATCACGTAGATGAAAGCACGGAAAAGGCATCATAAGGTTGACTGTCTCGCACTGCAAGGGGCGTCGCAGGTGCTGTTCGCTTCTCATTCGCAGTTCTGGTATTTCGCGAGCCGCGAGGCATCCGAGTTGCAAAGTGCGCTGAAAGCTGCGAGGCACAGTTTGTGTTGATTCGAGAGCTAGTTGAAAGGTGGTTTGGGATCCTCTTAGTCTGTATAATTCCAAGCACACGATCACAGAGACTTCGAGAAGGTCCATAGCAGCATGTTGAGTCTTATGACTCTGCCGACTTTCAGTCTGAGAAAGTCTCTAGAGTTTTCATGGTACGTCGAGGCCGCAGGAGCCACAGAGCAGCAGTTTCGCTCCCCTCCAAGGCAAGCCCAGCTCATCGTCGACAAAAGCGGCGATGCAGCACAGAAGTCGCAAGTAGTGGCGGCCTTGGCTTGGACCAGCTTTGTGTCTCCGATGCCTCGATTTTTGCTGGCGTCGCAGAATCAGCTTGAGCTTTGTATTTGAAGCCAATGTTACAGTTTTGCGTAAAGGCAAGGTGCCAGAAAGGCTAAGCCGCTGTCGACCGCGAGATGCGTTTATGGCGTAGTCTTAGTGTATATGCCCATGAAGGAGTCGATCCTTGATCAACTGCGCGGGCACGAGTTCCGCGTCGACGAGGCATTGGCAACAGCCCGACCTCGTCACTGGTGCTTGCAACTAGTGCGACTAGCAGCGAATCTTCTGTACCGAAGCCGCTTGTCTGTGTTGCTTCGAATGCCGAGCTTGCAAACGGCCCCTGCAGACTTGCAGAATGGTAGTAGCCCATGGCAGTGAGCATTGATCCGGTCAATCTTGTCAAGCGTTTCAGACTTGCGCCAGATGTGAACTTACCAAAATCATCTTGCACCGAGTAGGGCGAGTAGGGCTTTGCTGGTTGCTGCCAGGCACCTCGAATCGACCCTCGAATGGTCGTGAGGGCCTCAGTGTTAAGCCAAGTGCTTGTGGTGGAAATACTCAAGGGGCATCATTCGAAATGCATGTCCAACTTCACAAGCTGTGCATGCGCAAGGTAGGGCAGATGGCGCTGCCAATGGTGTGCAGCCCCCACTTGACTAAGACTTTCATCTGATACGAGCTTCGAGCGGTAGGTGAGGCATGGGTTCAGGTCGGGCCCAGATCCGGCGGCGGTTCGAGCAACGATCCAGGAGGCAATCATAGTCACGGGAATCGGCTCTCAGTCACATGGGAAATCAAGAGCTGCGAAGTTGAGTTCCACTAGTGAGACGCGGAAGGTGACGAAAAAAATGGTGGGCAGCGGCAGCGACATCGAAGCTGACATGCCCCTTATGGACATAGGCATGGCGCTTCATTACACTCTACGAGAAGATGTCTGAAGTAGCTGTGCAACCATCGTCCCAAATGCCAGGAATCAACAGCATGAATGCCGTGCTCTTTCGCAACAAACTCATCACCGAGTTCAAGGAGACCGGAACCTCCCTTTCAACGGAGCCAAAGCTAAAACGACAGCAGGATGTGGAGCTGCCGACAACGCTTGTGCGTGTCTAAGGGGATTACCCGTCCCAGCGCGCGACAACCACCAGCCTCACCAGCCTCCGGCTCTCCCAGCATTCGCACGCTACAATAGTCCAGGTCTTCGACTATCCCACGGTCAAAACCTTGCTGCCTTCTCAGATGTTCGGCAATGGCTGCTGGAGGCTGTGAACACACCCCATGGTTGACTTCGGAAGCGCTCGGACAGAGACCCCCGACATCGACCTCGTAGTGTAGGCTAGGTGGATTAGCGGTCAAAATCTCCCGCTGAAGCCCTTGCTGTGGGAGTCTCGTTCCCCGCTACATGGAAAGCTCCATCGCCCTCCCTTCTACCTGCACATAACCCACTGCCGAGTTGTTCACTCCAGGTCAGGACTGGTGGTGGAGCAGGTTACCCAAGCTGCGACGGCTGGGCCTCCATTCCGATTGTTCCTTGGGACCCTGACGTCTGTGCGGTGAGTGTTGGCTTTGAGGCAGCTCAACAACAAGCCATGGCAGCCGCCATGCCGATGATGTCGATGCCGGGTACAGCGCGGCGTGTCTTTAGCTGGTACACAGAGAGGAAGCGTAGAGAGGCGTAGGGCTTCGCTTTTCTAAGGTATCCTGTGATGCCGCAGCCAGGCCTGTGCCTCCGCCCTCACGGCCGTAGCATCGCATGTATCGGATCGTAGCACCAGCGATGGAGCATGTGCTTGCGGCTTGCGCGTGCTGGCCAGGCGTGACTCCCATCGAAGTTGCCTCAAAGATTCAAGAGGCGGATGCGCTGCATGCGCCATGCACACGCCTTGAAAGTCTAGGTGCAAGGATAAATCATGTGCCATTGGCACCGCGCATGTCTTGAAAACTGCTTGCAGCTGTGCAGATGTAAGCAGGTTACCAAAGGAATGGTGGGAAGCGACCGCGACATTGCTACCTGGCTGCACGGGTCTTTCTTGTCCCCAGTCGCATGTGTGTCCACTTTGAAAGATCGAAAGACTCTAAGAATTGAAGGCATCGCTGAGGGCTTTTTTGGTTGTCGGATTACTTTGCGCATGAATGCGGCGGCAGCGGCAAGCATCTTCAAAGTTGCGACTGTCAGAGTCAAACGTAGCAGAAGTCTGAAACACCTCCAGGATGCGGACATGCCGTTGATGGACATAGGCGGGCGGTTCAAAGGGGATATGGAAAGTACGAGATGCGACACAAGTAAGCTTCGATTGGCATCGCGCAAATCCATGTACCTGGCTAGCGCGGCTTGAACGTAGTGATTTCACAAGCTCTGCAAGCCCGTCCATCTTCTGCAGCACGAGCAGTCTCCTGCATCTTAAACTTCAAACTGCATTAATTAACAGAGATGTTTGCTGCATTATGCACTGACTCCTGATTCGACAGGCATCAACAGCATGAATGCAGTGCTGTGCCTTACCTGCAGAGTGATGGGGCAGTTGGAAATGTGCGATGTTATGATCGGATGCAGGACTCGCTGATCTGTCTGACGGGGCTAGATTACTCTTTGGACTGGCTCACAAGCAGCATTTTAACGTCCTGATCCAGTTCCGCGAGGTTCCGCAACAAGCTCGGAAGCGCCTTTGAAGGTGTGGAGCTGCCAAACACATTGGCCTGCAGCTTGGTTTCTGGGCGCTTGCGCGTGAGATGGCGTGGGTTACTTGTTCAGGTCAAGTTCCTGCTGTAGGGCGCATGAAGGGAATTTGAGGCCTATGTGGCCTATGTTTGACGGCAGAGAGTGGGGCCCTAGGGGGTTTGGATGCGTTTGGGTGCCTCGGTAGGTCGACCACTTGAAGTTCAGGTCTTTGCAAAGCCAGATTGAGACGAACAGTTATCTGCTTTGTGTGGAATGTTGCTTTGAGAGCTGCATGACGTGGTCACTTAGGGCAGACAAGTACCATGTGAAGAGAAAAGCATCGCCACGAGCAGACACGTGATCCAACGCCTGCCGTGGTGACATGAAGTTGCAGTCTCGTGACTGCAGGTCACATCGCACAGCTTCTGTTCTGACCGCTAAGGTGTTCGATTATCCAACGGTCAAGGACTTGTCCGAGCTTCTGATGCAGTTGACGTCCGGCTAGCAGCCTCTAGCCCGAACAAGAGCGGCGCTCGCCCGACGTTCGAGCTGACGTGACAGCAGTCCACCATTGTGACTTGGAGTTTCAGCAGCGTAGCATGCAACCTGACGTAACTTCTTCGTTATGCTGTCGGCGTGCCAGAAAAAGCGGACTCCGTCTGGCGTCTGTCTTCTCTTGTGTGTTTTTCCTGTCCAACCCCATGCCACGGTTCATGATCCGAACGGCATGCGAATATGCCTTGGAGCGTCCAGATGCCGACTTCATGCCTAATTTGAGCTGTCGCCGCAGCATTTTGCTGGGCTTAGACTGCCGACATGAGGCTGGAGGTAGATTGAGAGACACAAGTCGTCGACAAAAGATCGCCAGGAGCAAGACCCTTCCCCCCTCGCACAAAATGCAGCGACAGCTCCTTGCGCTTGAACCCTGCCCGCAGCATCATTAAGCATGAGGCACGTATAGACACAGGTCCAAGGAAGCGTCGTGCCCATCTGGTGAACTGTGCCTCGTCCTCCTTCGCACCGTGCTCCAGGAGAAGGTCCGAGATCCCAGGGATGAATGTCGCATAATGATGCCCGCCGTGGCTCAGGTGAATGAATCTCGTGCTCAGCCATGTTGCCGGAAGTCTCTTGCTCGGCTTCGGCGTGGCACAGGACAGAGCTTCAAATTTCAATCTTTGTTTGCTGCAGTATACATGTCCGACGCATCAGCATCTTGCTGTGCTCACACCTAGTCCACAAACTACTTTTAGTCGAGGAAGTGCTCTGCTGCATATAAATAAATATAAAGATAACTATAAATATATGTACATACATATGCGAATCTGTTCTTTACCTTCTGGCATGCGTTACGGATGTGTTATGCAGATTTGCGGCATATGTGTATATTTGTCAACTGCTTGTATGCCATCCTGCGACCAAGTATGGTATGGTGGGTGTAGAGAGAGAGTGCGAGAGAGAGAGAGAGGTCCCTCCACAGGACCCCAAAGCCTCTGCTCTCTAAACCTACATAAAGAGGGTGGGGGGCGCCTCGGCGCGGGTCCAGCCCGCTGGACCTTGACCCGCAGCAAGCACGCAAGCATGAGGTCCCTCTATTCCCGACTGAAATCAGTCAGCACGCAATTCCCAGTGGTGTTCAACTCTCGCAAAATAGACAGGCCATAACAGTAAGAGATCCAGTGGAGCCGATACAGGCTTCGGAGGCCCAGCCGCCGTACAAGACTGCTTGCAACGGCATTTGCGCGACGTTGCATCCCTTAATCTGCTTCACCGTCGACCACTCACTCCGTCAAAGTCATTTAAGAGGTAATCCTCCAATGTGATGAGTGTCGTACTGCTGTGCGTCAAGCTTCAAGCGACGCTCAAGCGTGTACGAAATCTGCGGGCGGGGCAGGAATCAACGGTGCTGGGCTTGCGGTCTAACTAGGAACTGCCAAGCTCAGCGGACGGGTGCATCCAAGATCATCCGAGAAAGCGCTGGAGCGGAGCAGCCGGAGGTTGAGCGGCGTCAAACTAGCCAGATGTGTTCAAGTCGTTGCAAGTGCATTGCCCCTACAGTACACGGCTGCCGTGGAATCTAATGTGCATGGACAACACTGTATGACAACAAAAGTAAGTGTCAGGCTGGAGATGACTCTTGGATGCTCTGAAACTACGCGCCGCGTTGAAGCCTATGCCTTGCTTTCTTTGTGTTGGTCGCATGCAGTAGCGTCATTGACCCGACCTTCAGTCTTCCACCGCTAGTAAGACTGCTGGACAAGTGAAATTAACTTGTGGCTGTGTTAGTATACCGGCGAGTTCATATATGGGTCTCAGGACATTGATAAGTGCGAATCCGGGCTGCCTTCCCGGGACGTTGAAAACATCTCCGCCGCACGAAATTTAATGCCCTCTCCTCTTTGTCATGCAGATGTAGGCTGGCATTGTGAGCCATGTTTACATTTGGCTCGAGGACAAGTTGTTCTGGAGCCTTCATGCGAGATTCGTATCCGAAGTGTAGCCACCAACACACTGTCACCCCCCAGTTCAGCTGTCCGTTTGCAGAGGAGCACGACCTCAGCCTGTTCGTAAGCTGCAGCAACTGGGATCAAGATCTGTGTGAGAACCGAAACTGCGACATGAATGGTCTTAGCTTACAGAACCAGCTAGCGGAAACCAGCAGTTGAAGTTAGCAGTCTTGTGCATTCCAGTGTCTTGGAGGTGCGATGAAGAGGGAGGGAAGCACTGATACTTTTAGCACCTGCGTGATCATGCACACTGTTGTCTGAGCCCTCTAAGTCTAGTACCCGTGCATGACTGCAGCTGAGAGCAAGTACCGTGCACGGCGGGCATCAAGCGAAACACAGGATTCTCACCCACGTAGACGCTCTGTTCCAAGAGGCTTACGCTCGCGCCGCCGTTGGTAGTATGTCGAAAGGCCACAATCCAAGGCAGAAGCCCCGGTTTCCAACCCAAGCTGATCCCTGTTCGTTCGCCTTGTCTGACTGCTAGGAAGTGTAACTACGGGATGCCCAGTATTCAGGCGCGGTTCGATCCCTTACCACACAGTTCAATTACAGTCCGCTTCGATTCTTAGCGAAAAAACCGCACAGACGATTCAAACACGTGCGATTCCAGGTAATCGCGTTCACGGCTCTTGTGCCAGGGTGTTAAAAATTTGGGCTTTTGGGTCTGTGGCGTCTAGGGATTGTGGGCTTTGGGGGTTGCAGGGTCGTCAGGCTGGCTTTTTGATGAACCGGTCTCCGGCTTTAAGGCCTTAAGGGTTTACGCTTCTCAGGGTTCAGGGTGCTTGTGTTTTTTGTGGTTTTAGGGTACTTGCCTAGCTTTTGGGCTTTTAGGGTCAACGGTTTCCGGGATTGAGACTTTGGTGCAATGCACGAATCCAGTCTGCACCTGTGTGAATGTCGCGGCCTCTGTGCACGAATCCACCGCAAGTCCAAATCAGCCCTGGTGCGCTTGTGTTGTCATTCTTGGGCCTCGGCTACGTAGCCTGGCGTAGGCTTGCCCAACTTCTAAAGCCTTGACGGCTACTTGTAGAAGCCAAGATGTGTATTGTCGTTATCATGCACGTCCATGCAGGACTGCCGGGCTCGATGTTGATTGCGGTGAAAAGCTTCTGCATTGATATGTTCAGAACTTGTGACTTTAGCACTACTTGAGGGCATACCTAGCAAAAAATCAGAAAGCTTTAAAATGGGACACGGACACCTTCGTGGGACAGGAGAACAAAGAAAGCGTGTTCTGAAGTAAGGAGCAGACTTGACGGGAAGATACAGTCCCGTCGGCTACACGGCTGCGGGCACACCCTACTATGGAAGCGACGCTTGGGTCCGACAGATTTGGCAGCAGCTTGTTTCCGGGTCTGCTCTTTTACGGCCGACAGTTGTCAAGGTGCCGAGTTGTGATACTGCATAGATTCAGCAAGATGACTCGCTGCAATCGAGGACAGCGGGTTCTACCTCTTCCACGATCCCAGTTGCGATGGAACGGAGGATCAAGCCGCCCGATGGGCTTCTTGGAGCATTCAGACCAGACAACGGCGACTTGATGCACAAGGGAGCTTCAACGTGTCCCAAAGCAAATCGCAAAAGCGAGTCTCAGCCCAGGTTCTGGATGTGGACGCGCCGTCCACGGAAGCATTCCAGGTCGCGGCTGGACTATTTTTTGCTTTGCACGGTGGACACTGCGGTTGGCTCTTGACAGGATCTGGACCAGGACGGCAAGTGTGCGTACCAGGCCCCTCTCCGGACTACGATGTGCCGCGTGCCGTTCATGGTTGAGTGAAAGTAAAAAGAGAGACGATCGGTGTGGTCGGACCTTCAGACAGGCGCGCCTCAATGGAGGCAATGCTTCTGCGCCGCCTTCCACGGCTCTGTGGACGGCTCCTTGGTCAAATCTAGAGGGAGGGCTTCGTGAGAGAACCATCCTCTGCCCGTATATATATATATACATACATACATATTTATGTATTTGTATATCATATATGCATACGGTCGTTGTGTTGGTGGACAGGGCCAAACTGAGCCTCTTCAAGCTCTTTCCTTCCGGGTTGTGATTGCCCAAACCTGGGCCTGGGCAGCAGCAACCTTTGCAAGCTCACGTCCAGCAAGATCCAAGGTCTTCTGTGGAGGCAGTTGGCAGGAGGCTCTGTGGACGTGGGGCGCCAGTGTTTCTTTGCAGTGTTGCTTGCCGCAGGAGGAAGTGCTCGTCACCGAGGATCGCGGTAACCACTACCAGCAGGAGAGCGGAACGAGAGGAAAGCAGAGTGTGGCAGAGCGACAGCGATTGACTTGGCGACTTGGTCCGAGGAGTGCTTCGAGGCCGGCGCCTGCCGAGACGGAGGCTCTACGCCTTGCGAGTGGCCTGGCGGCAAAGAGGAAACCGTGCCGCGTGCGCCGCGTGCCTCACCGCATCTCACCGACTTACCGCATCTCTCTTTTGGCTGCAGGTGGTGTGGGCTGCACCAGGGCCAAAGACTGTTCTGCTGCAGTGCAAGCGACGAGAACCCGGACATCTGCACTGACAAACGTCACTGCATGCTCCTGGGGAGCTCTTAAGCCATGCCGGCTTTGCCCAAGAGCAACGCTTGCATCACCCTTTTGCTTGCTTTCGAACCGGCCAGTGCCAAGTGGTGAAAGCATGCGACTTTGCAGGAATATGCAAACTGCTCGCGGACCCCAGAGCTTGATTTCGGTGCAAGCTTTCGTTGTGCCGCTTGCCTGAACTAAGCACAACATGAGCTTGGGAGGAGGGAAAGACTTGGCCCGCACTCACGTGTGGCATTGCAAGATTCGGGAAGTCTGCATGATGAGTTTAGATGGGGCGGGTGAATGTGCGGTGGAATAGTCCGACAGAGTCTCTTACCATCGCGTACATTACCCTACGGTACATCTGCAAGCAGCCATGAAAAGCCGGTCTGAGACCTTACACGTGCTACATGTCGCATCATCCGTCGGCGTGCGAGGTCACCACAACGACAACGACACCAGCGGAGAGCTCAGGGGTGTGCAGAGTGTCGGACTTGCGTCATGTACTATTGTGTAGACGCAGATGTTCTGGATGATGACGAGAGAGAGTGCAGCAGCGAGTGCCTTTGCAGCCGGACCCCAAACAGAATTCTTGCAAGGCTGCAGACAGGTACTTGAGTGGATGTGGGTCCCACTGCGAAGACGGTGTCTTGGCTTCCCGAAGCTTCTTTGTGGGCCTGCAAGCCGTTGGAACGTGCTGCGTGCTGTCTCATTTTGGAGGAGGCCTTTCTGCCCTTGCACAGGCAGCCCTTGCGCCTGGTGCGGGCTCCACGATCAGAAGGAGATGTTCTGCTGCAGCGAGAAGGAGTACTCTGTTGACCAAGCGTGTCGCCCTGGCAGCAAAATCAGGCAGATGTTCACTAGGTCACCAGGTGTCTTCGATATAGATCGGCACCGAGCAGCGGCGCAGCAGGTAACCTGACACTTGCCGTATTGGCACATAACCTGCTTGCCAATCCAGGGGGTTTGGCATGGGTTTATGCAGGTAGCACTTCACACCTCAGGCCGCAAAGCAGACTGGTCCAGTCGCGGAGACGCTTCAGGGCAGCCTGTCTGTGTGCCCCAGACGCTTCTCGCCTGACATGCTGGCCATGGATGGAATCAGCTCGTGGTGTTGGGACGGCGCAGTTGTAGGCCTCAGTTCGTGGCATGTTCTCAAGACTCGAGGTTCGCTGTGAAGTTCTCACCAAGTCCAAGATGCTTTGCAAAAACTCGGAGCAAATACCGAGGCCGCCGCACAAAGCCTTTGCTGAAGAGTCGACCTCCTCCGGGGTGCTCATGGCTTCTGTGCATCATGGCAGCAAGTCCCGATTTGTGGTGGTACAAACAGCACCATGAAAGAAGGTATTATTGCTGCAAAGAAGCCGACCTCGGAATATTTCCAAAGGTGTCGGTGAGGCTCCCTTTATCCCGTTTTTCAATTGACTGATGCTGACCAAGACGAAGAAGGAGCGAGGACGAAATCAGTCCTGTAGCTTCGTTCGCAACCCTTACAGGGGGCTTACCTAGTGACCTAGTTACCTAGTTCACAGAGGGCGGTGATTCGCCCTGAAAGCCACAGTAAGGGAGAGAGGCAGAGAAGACATCGTCTAGACGTTCCCATTCTCCTCAAGCAGACTTGAAGAAGATGCCCTAGCATCTCTTGAAGACTCCCTCAGCTCCGAACGTGTCTGAGCCCGAGCCACAACTGCTTTGGGCCGTCCTATACCGAGGCTGACTGCTGCCATCCTTCTCGTTTTGCTCGTAGTGGGCATCTCCTTCATACTCAGGATGGATCGGGTTTTCGATGCCATGCTCAAGATTGAAAGCTCCAGTGTCGGAGATGACATGCGCATCGCACTGGACATCTGGCGGCCCCGGTTTTCGTGCGGTCGGCCGTGACATGCGGTGCGAACCAAGCCTAGTCCTAGTCTGCTCGCAGAAAGTTTTGGATATGTCCAGCGGATGCGAGTCGCTTGAATTGGCTGCTAACGGAAGCTTTCTTCAGCGACTCTTCACGAAGCTGTACCCTACCATCTGTCCTTACTTTCAACCCAGCTCGCAGTCTGGCGGATGCCAGGCGCTCGACCAAGCGTCAGGAGGAGGAGCTTCAACAGAGAGTCCGGGCGAAGAAGGAGCCTTGCGCAGTCCTGGGAAAGAGCAGCCACCAGTTTTGAGCTTGAGCAGGAGAAGAAGTCCACACCGTCCAGGAAAGGCCTATCAGGCCACTGGGCCTGTGGACAGATGATGACTGACCTTCGGCTTGATCAACAGTCAAGCTCTCCGCAAGCCACCACAGGTGACTCCGGCGACCCGGAGATCGGTTCAAGCAGCTTCGCCTCAACCGTGCCAGTGCCGGTCGCGCCGGCTGACATCTCAGAGCAGAGACTGTCTGACGTTCGGATGCCTGCAGTTAAGTTATACTAGTAGATAGCTGGCCGCCCGGTAGCGCTATTACAGTGTCTTGAATCCAGACCGGCCGATCACAACTTGTTGGCAAAATAATCTGTGTGACGAACACTCCGCTGCGAAGACACCGGAGGTTGCTCTGAGTAACGTGATTTGAGGCCATGCTCGAGGCGGCCTCAGATGGGTTTCCCCTCAGCCTGTGAGCACAACAGGATCGGTGCGGCATCTAGAACATCTGGTTGGAGAAAGGAGTTCTCTGTGTACCTGGAATCTGAAGGTCCAGGTTTGCAGAGCACTGCACGCTCCGGCGTGGAGTGGCACATGAGACTGCCAGCGATCTCTCATATGCCTATGCGGGACTCAAGATCACAGCATCTGCGAAAGCCAATGCTGGCAGTTTCAACGCCGTACAGTTGTGCATGCAATTCAGCCCAGTAGCCCAACGGCTGAGTGGCAACGTTCGGTGGCTGTGAGCAGCGTCGGGTGCGGACGCCTTCCCGGTCTTGATTCGCACCCCGCGCTGCCACCAGGTTTCCAAGTTTCTTGTGCGTCGCTCGCTCTGCAAAGAGAAGGGAGTGCCGCTTGCGTAGCGACACCCGGCACAAGCAATTGCTCAAGCTGCTGACTAGGCTTGACCAGGCTGCGCATCGCATGGGGTCGCATGCGGGGAGATGCTGCTGGCATTGCCTGTGCTCAGAGAAGGTGTCACGTACATCTGACACCATGCCGATTTGTCTTGATGGACTCACCCTTGACGAGTACACGAGGAGAGCTAAGTCGGAGATTCAGATGATGTTAGACTCCGGCCATTCAACAGCCGATCACCGAAGAGAATGGCAATTGCATGGGCAGTGCTCAGATATCTGTTCGTTGCCGTCAGGGCAATCGCCAGGACAACTCGAGTGTGGAAAGTGTTGGGCAGTTTGTGCGAAGGAGCTGCTTGTTCAGTGCGTCGTGCATCGGCCCAGCCCTGGAAGATCAGCAAGCTCCAGCAAGCTCCTTGATCCTCCTTAGGATTGAAAAGACCGTCCGCAAAGGGTTGGTAGATCGCCATAGCAGAGATGATCTTCTGGATCTAAAGCGCCGAAAGGCCCTTTGCTTAAGCAAGGGCTTCACAGCGAAAGGTGAGAGCGGCAGACCACCTGGACAAGGGGTCAATGCTAAAGCAGAGTTATGGTTATTGTCGGCAGCATACCAGACGGTATCGGCCTCGTGGACATGCGTAGGCAGGATCATTGGGCGGCAGAATCACCTGAACCTAGGCACACTTTTCGAGCAGTATCATGCTGGTACTGCAGTCACGGCAGCCTGTGTCAGAAGTTGTGCAGGATAGCGGACAACACGGGTGCAGTCGCCCACCTGAATTCAGATCCGTGCAGTTCGGTTCCGACAAAGCGGAGCCCAGACCTGTCCGGCTCATGGCCGTAGACGACCTGAGCAGGATCAGAAGTTCTAAAACCTCGCTGGAATCTGTGAATGACCCCGTCCAGCATTAATGCTTCCGCACTGCCGAGATGTGTCGCATGCCGTCTATGATGCCGTACCGTTTGGTTCAATTGGCCTGGGGCCGCTTCACCCGTGATCCGGTGAAGGCGAGGACGTCCGGCTCTTAAGGTGAGGGCTGCACCTCGGAGTATGGGCATAGGCGGCATTGGGCGCACGCAGACATGTTTCAGGTTGCTGTCCAGCTTGTCCAAGACGGCATACAGAGTCTAACAACCATTCTGATGGGCTCCGGGGACTCTAGCCCCAGGACTCGCAATGTGCCCCAACTCTAAGCAGAACCTTCATCCTGTCTGCTGCAGTCTGCTGTGCATCTCCGGACCTCAGGCCCATCGGCATTAGCGCAGAAGCGTGTTGCAAGGAGAAGTCCGTTGTTGCCAGGTCCTTGGTTTGATGCATTCGGTTGCCGAGGCTGTTTTTGAAGTTGACGAAGAAGCGAAGCCCATGTATTGACTCATGCCGCACGGTCGTGTTGCTGACAGTTACTGGACGGTGCACTTGGCAACAGGTAACAGAACACAAGCACTGCAGCAATGCAACCCATTGGCCCATAAACTCAAGCGATCGTTCAAGGCACCTTTCTGAAGACCCGCGCCACCGTGGGGAGGCCGGAAAGCAAAATATCTGGTAATTACATAGTACAGACGAGGCTAGCTGCTTGAATTAATGTAAGTTGGCAGTGTGAATCAGGAGCAGTTCAGTTTCCACAGTTCAGGTGTGATTCCGTCCAGATCGTTTGCAGTTCAGTGGTCTTACTACCACAGGCCGCTTGCGGTTTGTTGTAGTAGGTTGTAGTATAGATCAATGCAGCAAATGACGAGGTCCGCATCCATCTCGAGGTCACAGGCTTGAAAGCACCCCAGTTTGGAACGGAGATCAGGCTGCACCGGGTCAACAGAACATGGCACTTGCCAAAACCGGCCCATTCATTTGCCCACGCTATTTGCATGAAGTGCTGCGGATGGCTTATGGATGGTGAAAAGTAGGTAAGATCGGCAGGGGCTCTGCAACCACGTGTGGTTTGTGTTGTGACTTCACTTGGCAGGCATGTCGTACGCGTACCTCTTCAAGTGCCTCTCTGCACAGAAGCATCTTCGGAGCCGGGGCTCCGCAAAGGGGAAGCCCGGCATGTCCCTATTTCTGTGCTACTTGTAGTTCAACGGTAGCTCCTGGAGCATCGCGAACTTCTGCTGTGCATTTCTGCGTCACCAATGCAGCAGGTACATCATCATTGGTGACACGGGCGTTGGGAAATCCTGCCTCTTGCTTCAGTTCACGGACCGTCGGAGAAGCTTGTTCTTGCTGCATTGCACCAACCTTGTGTCGAAACTGCCATGCAATCCAGTCGTCCTGTCTCTCCTCAAAGTTGACCTTCGGCGGCGGCAGTAGGGTGAAAAAGTCAGAAGTAGAAAACCAAATATCGGAGACCTGCCATGGCACTGCCATCGCTGTGCAAACGCCCACGTGGGCGTCGTAAAGCAGAAGGATCCTGGCGGTACTCCACAGTCACCAGTGCTGCAGCCATCGCCATTGTGACGCCCAACAAGCGACGCCGACAGTGACGGAAAGGCTGTGACAACAAGGACGAGAAACCAGAACTGCTCCTACTCGCGCGCTCTTCACTCACCTCACCGTTTGGTCGTCCATTTGCCGTTTGAAGGTCAGCAGTCAAGCAGATGCTCGGTCGAGCCTTCTTGTCTGCAGCTCTCGATCGCCAGATTGAGTTGTAACCAAATCATTCGAGCTACGTTGACAGCTTTTCCAGTCTAATTCTAGTTCAGTTTCCAAAAGACAGGTGCCACATCGGCCACAGTCGTAATCATCCCGATGCCGCTGCGGATCGAAACAACACATGTCTTCGTTGCGACTTCAACACCGTCTTCCCGTCTGCTGTGCTGCTTGTGTGACTCTTGCAGGACAAGCGTTTCCGAACGGACCACGACCTTACAATTGGAGTGGAGTTTGGCCGCGCTCTTAGAATCAATGTGAATGTTTTTCTACGTGGCGGCCGTCGTGAAAACAGGCTTGACAGCTTTTTATCGTAATTAGGGGCGTTTACACGGAGTGGCTTCGACAGCCGATGAAGCGATCTTCGCTCGACATGGTAGCTACCGTAGTGGCAATCTGTCGGCAGTTGCACCCCGAAGCCATGTGCTGAGAGTGCTCTGCATTGTAGCAGCAAGTTTGAACCTCATGCTGAAGCTTGAAGGTGCCCGTCTCATCAACATCGACAACAAGCAGATCAAGCCCAGGGCCCGGGTTTTGGACCTTGCAGGCACGCAAGCAGAAAGACCATACATGCAAGCAAGCGCAAAATAACGAAGGCAATCACAAGAATGAACATGACAACAACAAAAATGCTTAATACTAACTTAGTACTAATAAAGATAATACATAATAAGAGTAGTAATGATAATCAGTCAAACACAGAAAAACTAACGAACGAGCGAGCGAACGAACAAGCACACAGACACACAAACACAAAATAGATTTGCAAGCAGGCATGCAACCAACCAAGCAAGCACCGAAGCCCCAAGCAAACATGCAAGCAAGCAACCAAGCAAGCAAGCAAGCAACCAGCCAACCAAGCAACCGAGCAGTCAAAACAAACAGAAACAACCATCCTCGTATTCGTACAACTGAACTCAGTCCACACTCATTGCCAGGATATGGCATAACGACAAGGTTAGACTAGCTCCAAAACACCTGGCAGCCTGGGTTTGAGCACTTTCTGGAAGAAAGAGCGTCTCTTCCGCAAGTGGCGTGAAGGTGTATAAGCTTCCCAAGCCGAGGTTGCAGATCTGGGACACTGCGGGCCAGGAGTCTTTCCGCTCCATCACCAGGCACGGTCGCTCCGCCTATGGCAGTGGGCCACTCAATTTTCAATTCACAGGTCTTATTATAGAGGAGCCAGCGGCGCCCTCTTGGTCTACGACATTTCCCGGCGTGACACCTTCAATCACCTGACTCGCTGGCCAGAAGCTTGGTGCAGTTGAAATTAGGCGGGTCCATGGAGTTGCTTGCCGTTATGCTCTCGAATACGATGCGACTAATGAATGGTTGTGAGCCTTTTCCAGGCTTGATGCCCTGTCGCGAGGTTGGAAGAGGCACGGCAGAATGCGAATGCAAACATGGCCGGAGGCTGAGACTTCCGCTCCGATACCGCCAAACATACAACCAAGAGCGCTCTGTTGAACAAGTGCTCTCCAGCAACCTGAGCTTTTCTCTAGCATCTCGTCAGGATCGCGCTGCGGTCGGAATTCGTCCACACCATTAAATTGGTTCCAATTGTAAAGCCCTTGACGTGAACACAGTACTGTAGAAACGAGTTGCGAATGGTTGTGCAAGATCTTGCTGCGCGAGTGGCCCGCCGGGTATCGAGTGGTTGTGGGTTTCCCTAAGGGCGCCGAGTCAAACTTTTGGGATTTCCGTTGCCGCTTACTGTGGCCGGACGTTCCCGTTCTGCTTTGACTTTCCTCCTCGAGGCTCTTTCCGGAGCCGGCCTATTTGGATGTTGATCCCTTCTCGGCCTTCTCCTCCCGCCTCCTCGCCTCCAGGGGTCCTTCCGCTTCAACCTCCAGTCGTCGACTTGCGTTGTATGGGCAGCGAGGACGGGGACGTCACCCAGATCTCACTTCAATTCCAAAGCCTGCTATCTCCATTCCGTGACCCTCGCCTGGGTTCTCGGTCAGTAGTTCTG